TACGAAACCATTGATGGTTTCGTTGACATATTACGAAACCGGCAGATGGTTTCTTTTGAGAACTGCTAAACCTTACTAAATCTACTGAACTCAAAAAACTTTATTAATATTACTACGAAACTTTTTTTATTCTACTGAACCTAAAAAAGTTCGGTGAAAAAAAAATGGGAAACCTTTTAAGCTCAGTAATAAACCAATTTTTTTTTCGGTGTATACCAAACACTGTTTGCTTTTTGTTCTCATATCATTTGCTTATTATTTATGGTAGATAAAGAGAATTTACTTTTTTAAATTTATCTTTTCTTCTTCTATTTTTCTACATGAATTTCTTCCAACTTGAGCTTGTTTTGATAACGATAGCATAAAGCTTATCAAAATGCTAAACTCAAATTGGCAAGACAGTATAAGTCAATACTGTCAGGAGAAACATTTGCCGCTATGCAGCTGGCCGGGGGTATACTTGAGTGTTGGTTGGGTGAAGATAAAAACAATGCTCAGATAGACACCCAGGGTGTGAGTGTCGGTATCGATGTGGTTCGGGTGTGGGTGCGGATGTGGGTGCAGGTGGGTGTGGGTGTGGGTGTGAGTGTGGGTGTGGGTGTGGGTGTGGGTGTGGGTGTGTGGGGTGTGGGTGTAGGTGTAGGGTGTGGGCGTGGGTGTGGGTATGTCTGGGTACTGTCTTCATGGAAACCAGACCCACCCACACCCCACACCCACACCCACCCACACCTACACCCACACCCACCCACACCCACACCCAGACCCACCCACACCCACACCCACACCCACACCCACACCCTACCCATACCCGCCCACCCCACACCCACACCCACACCCACACCCACACCCACACCCCACCCACACCCTAATGTACATTGCAATGCATTATTTCTCAATAGAAATGCAATGTACGCAATTACATGATAATGCAACCTACATCATGCATGATAATGCATTACTTACTGTAATTCATTGCAATGAATGAAGACTTTAACGCATTATATTGCATGAAATAGGTTGCATTATCATCTACTTGCGGTCATTAAAAGTTTAATGCATTCCAACGCACTAAAAACTGCATGCAGTTGCAAACATCACCTAATGTATTTCTGTTCATTATATTTTCCTTGGCTCCAACAGGGTGTGGGTCTGGGTGTGGATGTGGGTGTGGGTGAGGATGTGGGTGTGGGTGTGAGTGTGTGGGTGTGGGTGTGGGTGTGGGTGTGGGTGTGGGTGTGGGTGTGGGGTGTGGGTGTCGGTGTCGGTGTTGGTGGGAGTGTGGGTATGGATGCGGGTGTGGGTATGTCTGGGTACTGTCTTCATGGAAACTAGACCCACCCTCACCCACACCCCACATCCACACCCACCAACACTCACATCCACTCCCACACCCACACCCCACACCCACACCCACACCCACACCACCCACCCACACCCACACCCAGCCACCACCCACACCCACACCCACACCCACACCCATCCACACCCACACCCCACACCCACACCCACACCCACACCCACCCAAGTCCCATTTGGATTATCTCATATACAGAGCTTCGTCAGCTTGAAGTTTGCAATGCTAAGATATGAGTTTCTCAAAATGGCTGTTTCATAAAATATTAAAGAGTATAAATTTTGAGAAACTCATATCTCGATTTTGAGATCTTCAAAATGATGGAACTTTTTATATGAGATAATTCAATCGAGCCCTTCATGTTTACAAAGTTAGAAGTCAAATTTCAAAAATACGATTTTTTTTCTGGAACTGCACGCTCTGAAGAAATTCGGTACGGGACATTATATCAAATAAACATCGACAGGAATCGGAATCTTTCGACAGTTATGCTGTTCTAGTGGTACTTTACATATGAACACAGTATGAAAGCAATTAGAATCGATCATCTATAGACTTTTGTTAGTTGAAATTCAGCGCTTAGAAGCGCTTAGATGTGCAACTGTAAGTACTTTTAAGCGCTTAGATTCCTATTCGTAAGCGCTTTTAGGTAGCTTAAAATGTGCGCTTACAAGCGCTTATTAAGCTAAAATTTAAGCTACTTTAAGCTAGCTTTTTCGCTTAAATTTTCACATGGGTTGTTCATTAGCCGGGTCAACAATACTAAAAGTTCGAACGACGTTTGGATGTCGACTCAATTTAGCATAGAATGATGCTTCTTTCGATGCTCGTGCACCACGAATATGTAAAAGAACGATTTTTGGTCCCTGATGATTATTTAACCACTCAGATTCATATATAAACTTATCACCATGTTGAAATAAAGCTCGAATTCGTTTTTTTCTCACATCAACATTCAATTTGAATCTATAATTTTGTCTTTCTGCCTTCTTCTCTACTTCCAGCATTTGTTTAACAATATGATTCGGACGTAAAGAATTGATAGACATTGGTTGCCGTGTTAGAGGACTGGTTCGGTTTCTCTGAAACCAATCAATAATAGCCTTTCGCTCGTAAGTATGCTTGTCTTCACTAATTACAGGATCAACAAAACGCGTTTGTGCTATGGAACATTCAAGTAAAGCATCGAACGATTGTGATTCTTGTTGAACAGTCATTTTTCTTTGGTAGAAATAAATTTAAAAGTTTTAATACATAAGACAATACAAACTGTCTCCAAGTTGATTAAAAAAATACAGTGAAAAATCAATCGGCAGCTCATAAGATCGTTATTTTTTCTCGATTTTACTGCATTGAGAGAAAGAAAAACGGTCATTTTTTTGTTTTTTTTTATGAAACGTACTTGGTTGTTTTTTAATATAATGGACAAAAGAATAAGCGTGTTCGTTTTTCTTTCTGTTTAATGTCAGCACGCTGAGTATTACTATGAAAGAATAAAAGAAATATTTTTATTCTATAATGGTATGGCAACAAATCAATGCCTAGATGCTTGTGAATACTAAATTCTTCCAATCAGCTTTTAAATCATGCTGTATTTTGCTAAAGTATTTTTAAAAGTTAAAATGTTGAAAAGGTGAACAGCATGATCTCTAACCAATGTCAAATGTTTGAAAGGAAACACAATGATCATTTCCATTAAACAATGCAAGATGAAATATAATGAAGTTTTGAAATAATCGATACGTTAAATGACACATAGTTCATTCGTTGTAAAGACTCCAAATGTGACAATACGATTTTATCATGAGAAAAATTTCCGTTTTGAAAAATCAGTAAAAAAGAAGAATTTCATTAATCGAAGATCATATGTATGATGTGAACTATAGTCTATCATGATATAGAGAGAAAGAGAGGAGAGAGGAAACGTGAGAGAGTGAAAGCTCTTCTTCTGTTCAAATAGTAAAAAGCAGATAGCAAAGAATAGAACTTCTTTCAAACGAATATTCTTAGTAGATTTGCCGTGGAAACTAATAAAACCAAACAATTTCTACGTTCATAATCAAGAATCAAGACATTTGATTCAACCAAATCTCCATTGAAAGAATACGTCTGATCTGTTGACACCAAACTCTATTCATTAAAACCAATAACATTAGAAAAGATCAAGTGTCGCAAACACGATATTGAAGATGGCAATGAACTATTGGATACAAATATTTAAATAGCACTGCATATTCATGTCGACCCGAAAAGTGTATTCATCCGACCATACTTTAATGGCTCCGGAATTATGATAATCTAACTAGTGGAAAATCACTCGGTTGATACTATGCTCTTATGTCAACTATTGGACATTTGTCGATGAAAGATACGATGATGCAATGGAATCGAATTGTTTGCTTCATGAATTTATACGGCATCATTCTTGAAATTTCTGGTGAATAATTTCAGATAGGATATAATATACATATCCGAAGATCATCAAGGATCAGCGAAGAGTGAGCCAATGCGAGAGTGTCGAGAAGCACTTGAAGAACCATATGAATTTCTTTTGGCTAATAACATTAGCAATCCAAAAGTCATAAATTCCATTCTCGATATGTTGACCAAAGCCGGATTCCTTGATCAAGTTGTTATTTCTAAGAAAATTTCCTTTTTTGCTAATTTGAAATATTTGAAGAAATCATTTGTTCTGAAATATATATTCTCCAGCAAGAAAAATCGAACTCCTTTTTTTTTTTTAAAATTGGACTATCTTTACTGTTTTTATATTAATAGAATCATAAATATCTATCAAAAAAAAATTGAAAAATCTTGAATCAATCACATTTTGATTATCACGAGACACATCGAAAAATTTTTCTCAAAATATTTGGCAATATTCTAGCTCAAAAAAACTAGGCAATTGTACTCAAGCTATGTCTGATGTATTGTGTTTCCCCATCTCTGGCTATAAATTACAATTTTATTGCGCAAGAGTATTACGTGATTCATAAATCAGTTTGCAGGCCTCGCAGCGGCACTACTTTCCTGATTTTTTCCTGATTTTTTTGAGAGCGTCCTGATTCGTCCTGATTTCAGCTATTTTTCCTGATTTTCCTGATTTTTTCCCATCACTCGTCGATTATTATGAAAGACTAGGTATATCAAACATAGAAATGAGTAGCGATCTCCTTACAAGCACTGATAATCCCCTAAAGTGTTTTTGTCGTTCGTCAAAGGGGAATTTCACGGCTTTCACAGTAATATTGAGAGGAATTATTTCCTTGCAACTTATGAGCCTCGGTGTAACACTCTAAAAACTCAAGACAACTAGTTTTTGATCATCTCTGTCAGCCTTTAAATACTCATATTTCTGACACAATCTAATCAGAACTCGAGTCGATTGAAAAAGTCAACCGTTTTGAGGAAACAGATCTGAAATGTAACAGTCACGATCTGAACAGTAAATGGTCAAATTTAGTGTAGTTTTCTATAAACTGATGAGTTCACGGTGAAATTGCATTCCCCCGCGTTCCTCCACACTCCGAGGAGAAGGAGAAAAAACGAAAGATCGCAAGATAACGGCAAGATTATTGCACGGAAGTATTCAACCTCTAGACGAAGAGAGTCAAACAGTACTCAGGCCCTTCTTTTGCGCCTCAAGGAGTCGTGTGCGTGCGTCAATAACACTACGGTGTGTTCAATCCCAGTGCGATAATTCTCGGAACATCGAGATTTCTAGTATTGACGGACTTCGTCATGTGATAGAGTCATGTTTCGAATGAAGAGTCCTTTGATAAAAAAATTTGGTAATCTGACGAACCATACTCTTTCAATATATGAATGTGGGGGATGGGCCATGATACCCCTTACTTCATAAATCGAACAAATGACAAAGAATGGTGAGAGAAACGCGCTTTGTCGATTGAGAGCATCGAAAATTCTGACTATTAGACTGTCTCATATTTCTCTTGTTGTGGATTATGTTTGTTCACATTCCTGCGTGAGTTCTACAGTTTCATCCCATTGATACTGCACTGAGTTGTTCCAAAAATTATCTCAGAATAGTTTTTCCATTAAAAAAAATATTTTGAGAGAACGTTCGAGACAAACCTAAACGACACACCAAAGTTTTTAAAGAGTTCAATTAACCTGCATAGCAAATCAAACTCCATTTGAACTGAAAGTCTATTCTGCTCCAATACGATGCCAGTTTAATCCAATAAAATTTATACTACGTAGCGTGTGTCGTACAGTGAAATCGAACTGATACATAGTTCATTAAGATTGAATAGAAGTATAACTAACATCGTTTAACAGTAGCTTCGAGGAACCTCTAAAGCAGGTTTAAACACCGAATTTTAATTTTTTGCTCTCAGCAATGGCGCTTCCTCAATAAATGTCCCAACTTTTCAAGAGACTACCACCTTGCATATTCTGAATAAGAAACATGTAAATCCGTGATTTTATAGCAAAAACGGAGCTATAGAATGAACTCTTCAGCTTTAACCAGTGAAATACCTATCTATACGGATTTGGTGAACTTTTCAGTAGTTCGGCTCTGTCCAGTATCAATCGGGTCGGTTTTATATAGTTTTTCTGGGTCTCTTTCATCTGTGCATCCGACAGAAAAGGAAAAAGATCTCTAACAGAACGGGGATAGCGCGGCAAATAAATTCCAATTGATATTTCGTAATTCCTGTTGCAAAATAAGGTGTATTTTCAATGAATAGTACATATGTTTTGGAAATCCTGATTTATCTGCGAAAATCCTGATTTTTTTCTTCAAAATTCCTGTCCTGATTCCTGATTTTGCCTACTAGGCCGCTGCGACCCCTGGTTTGTTTTGGTGATATGTCGACAGTATGGCAGAGTGGTCTATCGCGCCAGTTTTAGGTACTGGTTTTCGCAGGTTCGAATCCTGCTACTGTCACTTACCTTTTATTGTTTTTTTCTTGTATGTTTTTATATGTTGCTTCTTCCTTGTGCATGGCTGTTGCATGAGTCACAAATCGCTTTGATTGGGTAATATCTTGACAACATGGCCGAGGGGTCTATGGCGTAAGTTTAAAGGGCTGGTTTGGGTGTGGAGTGTGTGAGTGTTGTTGTCAATACAGAAGAAGTCATTGGCACATACATTACAGTATGAATTAGTGTGATAATGAATACTTTGTCTAACAAAAAAAGCAGGTACGTGCTATGTTTTTTGTAAAACACAAAAGAAAAGTAGAATTCATCTTTTAAATAAAAGGAAATTTTTTCGTTGTTTCGTGTCGAATTAAAAATGAACTCTGCTTAAGTTTCAATTTACCTGTGAAGCGGATATGGCTGTGACTTTTGGCTGAGAGAAGATACAGGATTTCTCATATCCACACCTACAACAACATTCACACGAAACAGCCCCATCTATTCACATATGCATCCTTATCCGTTACACACTGACTACGCAAACACAATCGTTTCTTCTCTTTCTTCCGTCCACATCACATACATGGAAAGGAGTGTGTGACTTTTGTTTTCTGTTTCTCGACACATATTTTACAACTTGATTTTTATCGTCTGAGTCAGATTGTATTCAATGTTTTTCATGCATGTTTTCTCTTGAATCATATAAATTGTGCGCACCTTTTATTAATTAAACATACTACGAGATTAATTGTTTCGAATGGAAGATATTACAACTTTCGAAATGTTACCAGATGAAATGATATTATTCGTATGTAAATATCTTCGTTGTGCCGAAATTCTGTATTCCCTCTTTAATCTGAATTCTCGTCTTAATTCGACAATAACTGACTACTGTCATTATGTAAATCTCAGGGATGTTACTTATAAACAATTTAACTTTGTTGCAAAGCAGATCATTCCTCAAATTGGCCTTTCTATACGATCATTTGTATTCAATGGACAATGGGAAAATATCATGTCCAACGAATTAAATTCGAAATTCTTCCATTTGAAATTATCTTTAATGTTCCCACAACTGCATGTATTGTCACTCATACATTTCATTGACAGACAATTAAATTTATTTCTTGACAAAATCACAGATCTTGTCCAACTTGTTAAGCTTGGCATTAGAAATCTTCAAGGTGAACATTCAATAGCATCATTGGAAAAAGTTCTGGCTGCTAACAATAATCGATTGAAATCCGTATTATTTGATTATGATTCAACGAGTTTTATTCTGAATGCAACTAAAAATGACGAAGTTATTTCGTATCTAAACATCGAAGAGTTGATAATAAACTTAAATACTGATAAAATGCTAGGTTATCTATTCACATTTGTACCACATATTAAACGTTTACATATTGACTTTGACCAGTTGTTATCGGATTCAAAGTCGCTATTAGCAAATGCGTCATCTCTTGTTCATCTAAAAGATTTTCAGTTACGTTCAATAAGCGCATACTGGTCATTAGACGAAATTGCTTATATCCTACATAAGATGCCATGTTTGCAGCGATTAGCATTGGATCTATGTACAGAAGATGCACATCTTGTTAATGGACAGAACTTTATTCGAATTCTACCATCATCAGTTGTTGAGATACATTTATTCATTCTTTATTACTTTACTAAAACAAATATCGAAGCAGATACTTTGCTTTCCACATGGCCAACTTATATTCAAATAACATGTTTGCCAAATAAATTACATAAATATGCAGTCATTCATACAATTCCTTGTGATTTACCTTCAATTATGATTCCAGCTAAAATAGCTAATTGCATGTCGGTTGGTTCAGAATACACACGAAAGGTTGAAGATTTAAAAATTTTTGGCGAACAATGTTTAACTGATATACATCTGATAGTGCAACACTTTCATCAGCTTCGAACACTCACCATTGGCTCAGACAACAATTCCGAGATACGTAGGTTATTCTTCATAAGAAATTTTTCTATCGAAAATTTAAATTTTAAAAACCTTATCTACTATAAGAAATGTATTCAGAGATAAAAAAGAATGAATTCACTGATAGACTCAAAATGCATTAAAGGAAACATAACCACTTTATATCCAGTGAAATAGAAGACGGGAAAAGTTATACTTTTCACGATGGATGTTTAAATGATTAAAATAGACATTTAATTTGAACAAAGTTCCGTGTGAAAATTTAAAATTGAAGTTTTATGAAAAAGAAATAGATCCTAAACAGAAATTTTCACTAAAACTCAAGAAGAATTTAAAAAAACTCTTTGAAAGTTGTTATATTCTACTAGTTTCCTAATTTATTCAGTCAAACACGAAAAAAAACAAAAGAGAAATATGTCTTTTTGTGTTTTACTTGTTTCACATTCTAGATTTTGTTTTTTGATTAATTAGTATTAATTTCTTTTTTTGTATGTATAGTTACTGTTCAATCAACTCAACCGATCATCTTACATTTACCTAAATTGAAGTGTCTTCGTGTGAAAGGAACATGTGAAATATTTCATCTAGTTCAAGCTGCTCCTAATCTTGAATGTTTAAGAATTAGTTTAAATTGTTTCAATATTGCACTTAACGATACGTCTACATGTAAATTATTGGAAAAACGAATTACAGATCTTGAAATTACTCGTTTTCAAGAAATTGACGAAATTCAATTAGATACCATAGCAGAAAAGTTTAATCATCTTCGTGATCTTTACATCAGAGGTTTGTTAACAGATGAAATGAGACAAGATCTTCGTCAGTGGTTTATCAATCATAGTCATTTACGTCAAGAAGATTCATTCGTTGTTGAATACAAGAGAAATTGGCTTTCTATGTGGCTTGAATGAAATTTCTGTACCGAAATTCGTTGTCATATATCAAATGATAAAATCTTATTCACAATAAAATAAAAACAACAAACTTATTTCATATTATATTAAACTGAAGTTTTTTTTGCTTCCATTTCTTCATACAAGTTTATTTTTTGGGCGTGGGTTTCAGGGTATCGACAGAAGACCTACGCTCATAGCCTTATCACAATATCTTGAATATTGTAGATATATCAGTATGGAGCGGGTTATTCATTTCGTTACACTATACTGACTCAAAACCGTTAATTTAATGTGGTATACGGATACCAAGAATTCATTCAGTGAACATTCTAATAACTATTTTGTGAATCTCGATATTCGAACTATGGATATTATTACATGCTTCAATTAGAAACGGCTTTTAGGAATTACATGAAGTTCTGTTTGTTTACAATTTATATTAGCTGTTTCATTGACTCAAAGTTATTCGATTTTATAATGCTAATTATCTTTGATAATATTTCCATGTCTCATTCGAAAGTATTACATTCGCTATTGATTCTTCATAACATTTCATTGATAATCAAACCTGATACAAAAAACGATATTGTCGGACCAACAATTACTGAAGTAGATTCACTCATTCAAACTCTTTTTTCAAATGGGTACATTTGAAGGCGGTGATCATATGATCATTGATCATATTGGCATAAGGAGCTGTTAGATTAGATGATGTCATATTTTAACTATTATTACGCCAGATCCGGTTCTTTTTATTAATAAGATTAGAAGTAATTTTGATCAATTTAGTTTTTATTCAGATACGGAAATATGAAATGTATTTGAACATGTCTATCATTAATTCAATAAGTCTTTCTTTGTCATTAGTTCAATGACTTTGTGTTGTTGACATTATTACAATTGTAGATATTAGTAACAGACATAATGTCAATGAATCTTCATTCATTAGTAAATGAAAGTGAATCTAATTTAAATGCTAGTCAAAAAACAATTGATATGTTCAGCAAGGTCTATATATAGAAAAAAGAGTAGAATTCTTGTGATTGATGAAGCAACTACTAATGTGGATATCGAATTTCTATATTATTTTACAAAATACAGATATTTATTTTTTCTTATAGGTGTTTAATAATGGAAAATTGATGGAGCTTGATTTACCTCTTATTACTGTATTAAAATCATTTTAATTCAATAAAATGCAAAAAAAAAATGTTTCTAAGTATTAAGAAACAAAGAGCTATTCAATAAGCACAGCTGTACATAGAAACTAATTCTTTTTGTTTCTGCAAATTATCATTTTGTTATGTGTATCATGATACTTTGAAAATGAGATCTTGTGTTAAAAAACTCATACTTTGATGATGTATAGAATCCATTCAGCCTCTTGTAGGATGTAACAAAATGAATTGAAATATCTTTGAGTATTCAATATCTTGCGAAAAAACTGTCTAGTTGTAGAAAAATTTCGGTCTAAGATTCTTTAATTCAGTTTTTCTCGTAAGATCTCTATAAACAGAATACGCTCTTATCCTCATTGTATTTAGAATGAAAATGACGTACGATTGTTTTGTTTTTTTTGAAAAGCAAACATCATTTCTTGTTGGAATAAAACAAAACATATACGTACTTTTCTCTTTATTAACACCTTTCTATTGAAAATTAACACGTAATCAATAGACGGAAGACAAATTTTGCGATTCATATTATATCACAATAGTAAATTATTGATTCAATAAAATATTTCATCATGTTGTTTACAGGTTATATGCATAATACCAAAACAAAACCTTATAAAAAAAAAGAGTTTTTCTATGATAAATGATAAATCAATTCATACAATTAAAATTAACATTTAAAAGATGTACTCTTAGAATACATAGAAACATCAACATCTAGTTAAACGAAACTATATTTATACAGAAGCATCAATATTGAATTGAAAATGATAATTCGTTTCTTTAATACCAATTAAGAATCGATAATACTACAAATTTAGATTAGTCTTAATGTTCGAAACCACAAATGGAGAATGCTAAGTAACATTTTACTATTATAAAAGCAAAGTCGAGGACGATTTTCTATTAAAGTTTATTGATAGTTAAAAAAGAAATCAATGAAGAATGACTTTTTTGAAATAAAGAACATCAAATGATTAGTCGATCAATTCGAAGTGTGACAGCTGCATATCGATTAACTGAGCTGGTATCAACGACTCAAATCTTTTCATTTGATCAGCTTACGTGACTTAAAATGGAGCTTTTACAAATCGATTCGACGAGATAAAAAAAAGGGAGTATTCACAGATGTGGGTGAGTATGTATAGGTAAGGATCTGAATGTAGATGTGTGTCAAGAGAAGACTTAAACTTAGTAAAAATTCCCACCTACACCCGTAGATCTCTATTGAATAATTAACTTATTTAGATTAAGTTCAGTGTCAATCTTAAACCTTTTAACTTAAACTCGTCATATTCTTTAATATTTCAATGATTGATAAAGTATTATAAAATCTATAGGAATGATTTGTTTTGTTTCCTTTGCCTTTTTTTTCTTGAAATTTATCTCACATCATTTTTTTTTATTAGTGAAGTTTTCTGTCATTGTTGACAGATGTCTCTCAACATTTGTCATTTGCTCTCTTTGTTTTACCAATAAAATTTTTACTCATTCGTTTTTTCTAACTACCGTTACATACATTATTTGCACAAGTTTTTTTTTTCTTATTCATGAGAAAAAAAAACAACAGAACATAAATACACTTTTAGTTTCTTCCTCGAAAAGAACAAAAATAATGTCTCTCATTACGTTTTTATTTTTATTCAAAGAATTGCTAAAATTCTATTGAAGTTGATCATTCTTCAATAAAACTTCCGAGTTTCACTTTTGTATATGTACAATTTATGATTATATGAATTTATTCATTACATTGATATAAAAAGAAAACATTTAAAATATCAATAAAATCCTATACATTTTCTTCTTTAGTCATTTACAACATATGATGTTTTTATTGATTATATAATTAAATATGGTCAATTAAATTTATTTATTTCAAAAATTATACAGTTAATTGACAATTATATATGTTTATGATACAGATTGTTGATGTTTCTTTATATATATATATGACTTCCTAATAAATTTCAGAATTGTCTTATTGTGATCATTTTGGCAATATATGTTGCTTTCTTCAAATTTTATTGAAGTAAAAAGTAATCTATTATAACACATACAAGTTAGATTTTTTTGTTTTTGTTGTTATCATGATTTGATAATGGGTTAACAAGACAGAGTTATAGCCGATAGGAGTGGCTTTGTCTTGTCTTCTTCTTCCTACCTACTATCAAAAATCATAAACGTAACAGAAACGACAAGAAAAAATAAGAATTAAAGTGTGTATGTGTTTAAGTATATCACTTTTTACTCAATAAAGCCTGAAAAATACAATGTCTCAATAAGAAAAATAATATTTTTACTTAAGTGTGACATTGTTTTAGAATAGTCTTTGCATGAGATAGATTTAAAAAGTTCTGAAAAAAGTGACATTTGATATTATAGAAATAGTTTTTTTTTTCTAATTGTTCAAATTAATTTTTAACGATTTTTCGAAAGTATCATTTCGTATGAATAGGATAACATAAAAACTCTCAATTGTGTGAATTATAATTTCTTGTAAAATAAAAACTTAGTAATATAAAGTTTTTCTACTTTTGATAAATTATATTCATAAGTCATATATCATACGTGAATATTCAAATATGTTTCTTAGAAATAACTTGAAATCAGAATATCAATTGAGTATGTTGTTTTTTAAGTACAAAATTATAATGAATTACATTTTAATTTCAGATTAATATAATATATGGCTACATCACACAGTGACAATTGGAAGGAACTTCATTTTCAACAAGGTTCATGCAAAATTATTTTAAAACCAGGAGATCTCTTAGATGAAAAAGATGTTGATGTACTTGTTATTCCAACACCAGAAGGTGGAGTGAATTCGGATAATTTTCAACTCTTCAAATCTATTTACTCTACGGTAGATCAGCATGATAAGACACAAATTAATAGAGTTTGTTCTGATTTAACACTTCTAAAACCACAAGTCGTTTTGAGCAGTAGTCGTAAATATATTCTTGCAGTTCCACCATATGTTGGTAATCTTAGTGAAGCTCGCAAATTATTAACAAAAACTTATACTTCATGTCTTAATTTGGCAATTCAATATAACTTTCGAACAATTGCTTTTCCCACTATTGGTTGTGGTGTCATTGGATTTCAAATAGACGATGCAGCTCGTAGTGTTTATTCGGCTATAGAAAATTTCTGCCAATCAAAAGATGGCAAAAAAATGGATGAAATTCGAATAGTTATTTATGATAAGAAGATATATAATGAATTCATTGATATTTTCATTGAAACTGATCAAACCAAAAAAATAAAATTCAACTTTGTAACAATGTATGATCTTATATTTACTGTGCTGCGCTTTTTTCAATGTTTTGATATTGATTTATGCTATTTGTCTCATTATGAAATTGATCTCATTTTAATTCATGTTCTAGATCGACGAAAACTTCAAATCGATCTGAAATGTCATCAACAAGAGATAAACAACATGAAACACAACAACCGTCAAATAAAAATGCATCACAAGAGTAATAATTACCACATAGATAATAGAATTAATAACAAAAATTTCATTATGTTAAAAGATGTTAGCACAGTTGTTTCTACAAAATTAAAATATGAAACATAATGTAGATACCGTTATTCATCATAGAGAGACTATATTATTCTATCCATTTTAAGGCACATTTCTTTCTCATACTTTTATTTTACTCTTGACAAATGTAATATGCTCGATATTTTTTTAACTAAAAGATCAGAATAGCATCGTACATAATTCTGTTTCATTATGATAGAAATCTACATAAGGTTTTTGTTTTGTCTTGTAGTTATCCCGATGATTTTGATGATGATGATAAACATAGACGTTCAGGAAGTGGTATGGCAAGACAAACTTCGAATCTCAATCCGTGAGATAAAAATAACATTTCACAAACATATAATTATGCAAAATTTTGTTATCATTTAGGCACTCTCCAGAATTTCAACCAAAAACTAATAATAACAAGCGTGTTCCTCGTCATTTTCATCTTAACAATAAGCATACAGAATTAATTATAATTCAAGAAGATATTTTAAAAACAAGAGTGGATGCTATTGTCAATGGTTTGCTTGTTTGTTTATTTGATTTTTAAAGAAATATTATCGTTTCATTTTATTTGTCTAGCCGCTAATGAAAGAATGATGGGTGGTAGTGGAGTTGATGGAGCTATCCATGAAGCTGCCGGAAACAACCTTCAAAGAGCTTGTAAAGCTCACAAAGAAATTTCTCGTGATGTTCGTTTACCAACTGGTCATTCACGTATTTTACTTAGTTATGATTTGTTCAACACAACTTACTATATCATTAACACTGCTGGCCCCGAATATGATGATACTAAACGAGAGAAATGTAAAAAAGATTTAACATCTTGCTATAAAACATCACTAGCTTTAGCGAATTTATATGATCTTGAAACGATCGGTTTTACTGCTATTAGTTGTGGTATATACGGATATGTAAGTGTAGTTTTTTCTTTAAATAGATATATATAATCAATAGTATATTATACAGCCAATTGATGAAGGTGCTGAAGTTGCACTTACAACAGTTGATCGTGCAGCTGGTACCATGGATAAAATTTTCTTTGTATTAAAAGATGATGATATTTATGATGCATGGATTAAAAAAGCTGAGGAATTACAGTTCACTCCACTGGATGAGAGAATTGCATCAACACAAGCACATCCGAATAATCAAAAGACGATTGAAAAGTCAATTACAAACAATCCATCGACATCAAATACTACAAAAGCAGCACTTAAAGAATCAACTGGCACGAAATCATCTAGCAAATCACTACAAGATTCAAATGAAAAATCTGAAAGTGAAGAAGACACGAACAAGGAAAAACATGATAGTTCATCGAAGAAAAGTGAACAAAAAAACAAGGAAAGGTATATAATCAGTACGGCAGAATGAATGATATTTGTAATGGTTTTTTGTAAAGATTTCTATTGATAAAAAACTATCGATACGATTATTTTTCATTCATAATATATGTTTCTAAGATGAAAATTATTACGAATAATATTTCATTCTGCCATCTATCCTATATGAATATGTCGAGACAGCTAACTAGTTATTATTTCAGTGCAATATGTACTCTTGTATGATTTTAGTGGAGAACCAACTTCGAATAATTCTTCTAAGACTAAACAAGGTCAAAATAATAAGCAAGGACCACCATCTCCAGCAGCTTCAAAGAACACAAACAAATCAATAGGATCAACCGGTAGTCCACAGAATCAAAGAAAATAGATTATAGAAATGTGATATAATTCTCCCACTAACTTATGTTCTAATTTTTTATTAATTAATAATAATCATGAATATTTGATATTATAATTTTGAATAAACCAAAAAAAAAATCACTTTTATTTTTCTCTCAATGATAATATTTTTTAAAAGGTATGGCTAATAAACAAGAAATGGTATTGTTAATGATAGAAATTTTAAATTGATCAGATTCCTAATTCAGCATTCTTATTAGCCTTATTGGTTTCATCAAAATTTATCAAATAGTTTTGAAATATATGTCATTATTGAGTAAGCAAGTTCTTGTGTTGATCGTATAGGTCGGATTCTTTTTTCTTTTTGCTTTGACAATAATAACTTTAATGTAAGGGTGTGTGTAGATGTGATCTTTTAAACTTTAAATAAGTTGCCTATTATTTATTCTTATACTATGTTAAAGGTGTAAGACACTTTAAAATATGCAATAAAAAAAAAAAAAAGAAACGGACAAGGAAAATGACAGACATGACTAAAAGAATATTGAAAAGAGTCTTTATATGATGAGATCACTTAATTGTTGTCCAGACAGTTGTTTGTCGGCTCCATCATACATATGAATAATTTGTATACCACTTTGTTCTTTTTCTCTTCCATGTCTCTCTCTCATTACGATGGCGATCATCATCATCTTTATTCTCATTTTCTTTTTCTTCTAACATAGAAAAGAAATAAAGATTGTCGTCGTTCTCATTTCTTTTTTTTTCTTTTTTTGTACAGAAGAAGACGGAAGATTTGCGTTCAGTCATCATCATCATCATTCATTTTCTTCCTGTATATAGACGTGTTCTTATAAGTTTTACAAGTATTAAATTTACAATCAAATTTATATGATGACATATCGATGAAAGAATTTAGTGGATTTTTTCTTTTTAATATTATTTTATTTTTACAAATACATTCAGGTAATATATATATATCTTCAAAATTTTGTTTAATAACAATAAATATCATAATTATTTGCAAGACAGGAAGTGTGAATGATTTGTCAAAATAGATAAATGAATGTTTAGACTAATAGATTAGATGAATATGTATACAACAGCTGTCTATCGAATCAACAAAGATATATAGATCCATTCATTTGTCAATTGAATTTATATTAATAATATGTACTATATTATGTGAACTATAATCCATCTGTTCTAAACTTTTGTTTCAAAGTTCACTTTATCGTTTTTTTTTATTTTTAAGTTATATTCGAATTATTTATATATTAATTTAATTGAGAAATTTATATAATATTAGTCACTATTGAATGAATAATTTCATATTGATTACTGCTTAAGTTTTATATTTTATTAGTTATTGATTGAGCAGATGTTAGAATATATTAGAAAAGCTAAAGAATTCTTTTCTATAGTCTTTTCTTTTTTTTAATTACATTAGCTAATAGCCTTCAGTTCTTTTCTTTTTTCTTAGTAATCAATATATTCATTTATTCTATTGATTTTTCTAAAATGTTATTTTATAATGAACGGGAGAAAAAGAAAACCTAACAATTTGATGTACTATTATTATTATAGTAGATCCAATATAATCAACAATCAAACCTTGAGAAAATTTCAGATGATTACTCATGCTTTAAAGTAATATATTCTTATTGTTGACAATACTTTCTACTCAATGATGTAATACCATTTCAATGGATTTTATCATATCTTAATGACAATTTCTATATGGTTTAAAATCATATTAGATTTTTTTTTTCTTCATCTATGAGACATCAAAAGAGAGAGAGAACCAATTGAAATTTCTTTCCTTTTTTTTTTCTTTTTTACAATTCTAAGACTTCATTTATTTATTAGTATGAATAAAATATAGCATGTCTCATAATGTATAACAACAGACGACAGCTTAGTGCCGAGTGTCATATTAATCAAAGTTTAAAAACATTCATATGAATAGTGATTTCTCCATTGAACATGACAGAGAGCTAAGACACATCAAAAAAAAAAAAGAACGTTGAGTAATAACATGAAACGAGAGACAACAAGACAAAGGAACTGACCATAGTAATTTTCATGCAAAACCTTGACATTGTTTAATGTCTAATTTTATCTATAGTTTGGTTGTTATGTAAAATGCCTACGGCATGGCTTGGTTCATGGTATCAACGTGGAATGAATTCATTATTAGAGATAACAATCGATCATATTCAGACGAAAGGATTATGTTTAGATGTACTTCCTATACAACAATATTATCTTTTTATTGATCGGTAAATATTAAATTACTACTTATTTAGAATTATCTTTTTAGTATAAAAGAATGATAAATTTAATATTTTTTTTTAAATAGATCAAATCGTTGTACACGATGTTTAGTATTTATTCAACGACATATTAATTTATTACAATATCGTGAAAGTATATTTAATTTTCAAGAAAATATTATTCAATAGAATTTCTATGATTTCATATTATAGGTGAATGTAATGATGTAGATGATCTATCAAGCATTAGTTCATGTCCAAATATGATTGCGCCTGATGCTGCCATGTATACACTTCATCGAAGTAAGTATATTATGATTAGTTTTTCTTTTTTTTGTTGTCGTTATTGTTGTTTCAACATTAACTATAGAAATGAGGTCAAAGACCCATGTGTATAAATGAACAGTAAAAGAATTTTTTCGGAAATGATGTATACAAATTTTAATTATTCTCAAGAGAGAAAAATAAAGACGGCACTTTATATCCTATTGTTAAAGATCAAAAAAGTATGACTCTCATATATGTGTGTAAATAGACACAGCAGGGATCTACTTAAATACTAATAGATAAAACAGGAAATTGAAACATAGTTAACATATATTTTTTGATTTATAGTCATTTTCCAAAAGAAAAGTTGAGAACATCTGTCTATGCGTAAGACATTTGAAAAATGAAGAATTACACTTGAACATCATCTCTCGACATTGATTTTTATATAAGAATATATTCAAACACAAAGAAGAATCAATCAAAATATAGTTTTCTATTCATTTATGAGCAATAGACTGCTTTGAAAAGCAACTTCATATTCTACTAGAATATATTGACTAAATATCTATACTTCGCTTGGAATGAGCAAAATAATGTAATGAATCTCTAATGAGGGAACCACCCGAGGTGTCAAAAAGCTTTTCAGCTGAAATTTTGCCCACAAGTCGGGATGCATAGACTAGAAAAAGTCTAAAAGGATATGGGCCCAAGTTGCGATTTGACTGAGATATCGACTACTTACCATAATTTTCCTATAGGACCCTACTTGTCCGATAAAATCAAAGTTTTAAATTTAGACCTAAAACTTTGTCCACACCAAGGCCCCAATCAGACAAGCTTGCCTACAAAGTTTCAGAACTCTTGGATAGACTATCTCCGAGATATGAATCTGCCAAAATATCTATGTGAAACATTATATCCATAAAAAGGCGTCTTTATGCTAACATATTAGTATCTCGGAGATAGTCTATCCCAGAGTTCTGAAAATTTGTAGGCAAGCTTGTCTGATTGGGGCCTTGGTGTGAACAAAGTTTTAGATCTAAATTCAAAACTTTGATTTTATCGGACAAGTAGGATCCTATAGGAAAATTATGGTAAATAGTCGATATCTCAGTCAAATCCCAACTTGGGCCCATATGCTTGTGGGCAAAATTTCAGCTCAAAAGCTTTTCGACACGTCGGGTGGTTTCCTCGGAAGAGAAAAAATAAATATTAGATGTCATGGAAATTGTACAAGATGTTTTGAATTAATACTTCTCTTTTTTTCTGTACAACTTTTGAAAATTTTCAAAGAAGAATAATATACTATGTTTTGTTATTTTTTTTATTTAATATGTTCATTATTTTTATGATATTATTCATTTAGATAATTCCAAATCACAATTATGTCCTATTCAACCACCATTTGTTTTAACAAATTTAGTAAAAGATAGTTCAAATTGTCAACAATCAATCTCATCATCATATATAAATGAATGTGCTACAGATAATCAATTTCATCTTTATCTAACTCCATGTTTATCATATCAACCAACTCTTGGTTAATAAAATTAAACTTTTTTTTGTTGTTAAACTTATTCTTTTATTTAGATCTTCAATTTATCTGTGTTGGAACATGGATAGAAGATTTTCATACGTATTTTGTTGCTCGTATTATTTCTCATTCTATAAAACGACAACGTAATCATAGAAACAATCAATATGCATGTTTTGTATATATTAATTTTTGTTATCTAAATTTTATTTGATTATGTTTTTGTTTTTTTTTTATCTTATTGTATTAGAGATTTTTAACTAAACAAAAATCTTCATCATTATTATCACTTAATATGGCTACTGATGATTCATGTCGAGATTTATATTCTAAACATATGTCTACAATAATGACTTTAACATCAACAAGTAAATTATAAATATTGAAATTATTATTATTTTTTTTTAAATAATTTAGATTATCAAATAACTAATGAATCAATTCAATATTGTATATTTCCTAACAAATTTCAATCCAATGAATGGTATTCAATTAATGGAACAATACGAATGATTATTAAAAATATTGATATAGAATTAATTGAAATGAATAAACGTTTTCATTGTTATGAAATGATTAATTTAGAAAAATCAATAAATATTTATCATATAAAAACATTTACAAATTGGTATTGAAGATAAAAGAGAAAGAGGGAAAAAAAATTATACGATTTTTTTTGTTTAAATTTTAGTGATATTAAAGAAGAATGTCTTCGTATAATTCAACGAACAAATAATGTTATTGAACTTTATACATATACATTATCAAATGAAAATAATTGTTATAATTTAAATTATAATAATTATAATTTATATTTAATATTTATTACAAAATCATTTAAATTATTAAATTCATGTCCAAATTATATTAATAATTTATTATTTCAAACAAATATTAATTTTAATTTATATAAAAAATCATTTCAATTATCTATTGATTGTAATAATAAAGAAAAATTAACTTTTTTACAAAATCAAAAAGGTTTGATTTTTTTTGTTTTAATATTTGTTTAAAGGTTATTATCGAATAAGTTAACCATCGACAATCATATTAATAAGTTAGACAATCGAAATTAATTAAACATGTACTATAGACTTCTATGACATGTTATGAACATAATAGAAATGCAAAGGAAATGATCAAATAAAAAAGAAAAGGAAATGAATGAAAGTATTAACAAGTGAAATAGGCGAATTCCGGATATTGACATTTAATTGAATCCTACCCAAGTAGACAAACTTTTGAGAAAACACGTTTAAACACACAGAAATTGGCCTAAAATCAGCAAAAAGTGGACGTTTTTGGTTCACACTTGAGGTTTCCGACTGTGAACCAAAAACGCCCTTTTTGTGCGTTTACACGTATACGAAAAAGTGGTCGTTTTTTCATACTCGGGATGCACGATCATGATTACAGTCGCGTTTCTTGAACTGGAAAAGCTGAACAACTTTTTTCTCTCTTTTGTATGCGTGTAAGCGCATTTTTTGTCTGAAAACACGTTTACACGCACAAAAAGGGCGAAAAATGGGCGTTTTTGGCTCACAGTCGGGAACCTCAAGTGTGAACCAAAAACGTCCACTTTTTGCTGATTTTAGGTCAATTTCTGTGCGTTTAAACACGTTTTCTCAAAAGTTTGTCTGCCTGAGTATTGGATTGAATATGTAAGTTTTGAGATTGAGTAGACTTTACCAAATGGCTTATAAATAATTGCATTGTTACTTGATTGAAAATTATGTGTAAAAATTTTGATTTTTTCAGTTAAACTAATAATTAAAAAGTACTCAATGAATATTACTTTAGCTATATGAAAAAAAAAACATCCATACCCTCAAAGAATCAACCGTGACTGATTTGAACAAAAAGAATGTTTTTTTAGGTCCCACACATCTCATTTCAACGGAAAAAAATGTTGTATAAATCTGTTGTTAAATAAAATATAACATTCTATGGAGAATTTCAAATATTAGCTTTTAATATTATTTATGAGCCATCCGTTATAATGCCTTTAAGTTTTGAAACATCTTTACGTTTATTTTCTATGAATTTTCTTTTTTTTTTTTTGAAAATCTCTAGATTTTATTTATTCATAATTGTAGATCTCGAACATCGATCAATAACTGAATTTGATACATGTCTTGCATCATGGCAATCGGATGATCCTTTAACAACATATTTTATTACTCAATCAAAACATTCAAATATATATCATTGTTTTGTATGTTATACTTTGTTTTTTTGTCTCATTTAACATAATATTCGATTTTTAGAGTTTTCAATTGACTAATCAAATTATAATTCGAAATAATAAGGATGATTGTTCATTTGTAAATAATGAAGATGAAGAATTATTTTCTATGTATTCAGTTTATATAGAAGATTTTTGTTCTCAATCACAAAAATTAATATCAAAATTACTTTTATTATTAATAACAATTAGTTTTTCTATGATTAATATCAATTAGATATTTCTATATTATAAACTATTCATTCCAAACAGTGAATATATATATATTGAATTATTCTTAATCATTATAACTCTATCAAGTAGTTTTATGTTGTGCAAAAAAAAAAAAATGAAAATTCAATTTGAATGTTTAAAAAAAAATTATACAAATTTATAAGATCATAAATATCTTTTTTTTTGATAAATTTTTATTACTAAACATCAAAAACGTGATACATCATAATTGATTTATATCAAAGTAATAATACGATAGATAGTTTTTTTTTTCTCTCACTGATGTTAGCATTTAATTTCAGATTGAAAAATTAATATAACAAATCTCGAATTAGAGACTATGTGTATATTCGCATTCGATGTAGAGATGTTAGTTCAGTAAAAACTCGAGTAGAAAAATGTAGATATAATTGAATTATCATTTATGCTAAAACAAAGATCAAGTAAATAAAAAGAAAATTACTATCTCGATTGTGAAAGTAGAGCGAAGAGAATAAGTACATGCATACTCGCACTCCATTAGAGTTCGGCGGTTGTCAAAAAAAAAAAATAACTCGGAAGTAGAATCGCGAAGGTTCCGGCTCGATTCTCGAAAATATCATGTAGAACCGAAATTATTAAATTATCTGATAGATATAAAAAAAAATAGAAATTTTCATTAATAAATTATTGAGTTTATTATTAAAAGATAAAAAACTTTTCAAACAGCATTAAAATACGATATATATTTTTTGCTTGTTTTCATATGTATATATATATACACTCTCGAAAAATATGTAAATGTTATTTTTTATATTTCTTCATTGCTAAACGTTGTAAAAGTTTTGATGATGCTGTAGATTTTGATAAATGTGGTAAACGACGATATATATTAGAAATATTTCTTTGTTTATTATTTAATAATGGATATATAGAAAGATTTGTTTGTGATGTTTCCATTTGTTTTAAATTTTGTTGTTCACGATGTAATTGTGCATATGTAACAATTAATGGACTTTTTCTTTCATCATGATTTTGATCAATTGGTGATATTGATAATTCTCGTTTTTTTTTATTAATATTATTTTCATTTGATAAACGAGAAGAACTTGGTGAAAGAGTATATGTTGAGAATGATGATGGATGTTTTACTAAACTTCGAGCTAGATTTATCAGAAAACAAAAAAAAAAAATGAAGAATAGTTTTTTAATTGAAACAATTTTTTAGATTTTTACCTGTTGAAGGTTGAGAAGATAAAAAAGATTTCTTTTTTGGACTATTGAGATCAATTATATGTAAGGCTGCTAATGATGCTTCTTCTTGTAAAGCGATTTTAGCTGCTGAAATCGACCATCGAAATTCGATTTCCGTTTTTCTTGATGGATTTTTTTGAACAATTTCTTTTGGTTTTATATTTGATTTTATACTTGAATTGTGATGTTGTAATAGAAGAGCCATAGTTTTTTTTTTGAAATAATTCGTTTCAAATATAACAAAAAAAACTTCTCATATTTATATAGGTATACTCTTGTTTGCGTTCGAAAATGACGGTACAAATCATTCCAATTAAATTTTCATATTTGTTTTTTCAAAACGATAGTAAATATAATAATAAAAATATTTGAATCTTAATTGCATGAAAAGCAAATATTAAAAATGATCTAATTAGTAATGTAAGAGTATGAATTTTTTTGATCAAAAAAAAAACAAAAACCCATATTAAATTCTTGCATACTTTTGTTCCATTTTAAAATACTAACTATTTCTTTTTTTTATTTGTTATTCATCATCTGTACAAAAAAAGAAAAAAAAGGAACAAATAACAAAAATGAAACACACAAACACACGCAAACACACATTGATAAAAAATCACAATCGAGAAACACGTGGTAAAGGATGAAGATTCATTGATGATGTTGAACCAGATGATATATCGGCTGCATTTACATCATCATCATCTTCATTATGCGGAATTCGTAAACTACTTCGAGCAGTTGAATCTTTAACAAAACAAAAAAAAACAGAAGATTTTTTTCTCTTTCGATTTTTAATATATTATACCTCCATTAGTAGAAAAATGAACTTGATGAGGACGTTGATTTGATTCTTGATCGGATGTATATTTTTCAATTAATACAAGTGGAATATCTTTTCGTTGTGGTGAACTCGATAAATGACGATGTTTTCTATCAATATGAGAATCATAAAAATATTTTTTACGACGATTATCAAGATAATTTGTTCGTTCAGCAGCAAGCATAAGTAATGTATCAAATTTATCAGAATCTCCTGTTCGTTCTGTTGTTGTACGACGTTTTGAAACTTGTAAATTACTTCCGGTTGTATTAGCTGATATTGATGATGATGAACGATTACTATGTGTACGATGTAATAATTGATTTGCTTGAGGAATTTCATTTAATTCAATATCATCATTATCAACTGTACATTGTGAACATCGACGAGCAATAAGTGCTTTACGATTTGAAGCACCACATTGAATAGAAAATCGAAGTTCTTTTATTAATTCCCACCAAACAGAATGCTATAAACAAAAAACAAAAAAAAAAGATATTTTATTTTCTCTTTCATATTTCATTTAAGTCTTAAATATAATGTAATTTACTCGTCGATTTGCATGATTTTTACGTGCATGCCATAAAAATTCCAAGATAGCAACAAGTAAAGAAAGAAAAACACCACCTAAATTAATCATATTTATATATATGTATATATGAAAATATTCGATTTTGTTTTTTTTACCAAGAAGCACCACAAATATTCCACCAACATTTGTTAAATCTAATGGATTTGGTTTGGGATCTTTTTTTTGTGTTGGACATTTTCCTTTACCTTTCCACCATTTATCATAAGATTCTTGAATCTAGATATATATATCATAAAAGTTTGTTTTTTTATTTATTTATTTATTTTACGTACAGCTCCTTTTTCTTGTAAATCAAGAATTATTTCAGAAAAACGTTCACGATGTGGACTTCCTATTACAAAAATAAAATAAATATACATTTTATTCAAAAAATAAATTTAACCTTCTGGTAATCCAATTCCATAACCTTTATAATCAAGATGACCACCAATTTGTGTTAAATTACATTTTTGTTGTACTGTATATTCAATTGTTGTTGATTCCATAAGAAATGCATAATTTTCAGCTTGAACACGTTCAATACCTTCATGATTTGTACTAACAAATACATCTGGATTATTTATCATATATTTCCACATAGTTTGATAAGTTGGAATGCTCGATTCCTAATATTATATAAAAATTAATAAAAATTAAAAGAAAAAAAAATGTACTCGAAAAAATTGTTCAGTTGAACCACCACGAACAACTCCATATTTTATTTTTGTATGTTTTGCTAAATCTTCAACACTTTCAATTTCATTAACAAGTTTTTCAACAGTTAAAAATGCAGCTAAAAAAACAAAAAAAAAAAATTTTTATTTAAGAAAACAAAACAAAAAAAATGAACAAAATTTTTTTTTCCTATATACCTAAGTTAGCAGTATAAGATGATATAAGAATTAATGTAAAAAACCACCATATACCAGATACAAGACGAGTAGATATTGCCGATGGACTTACATCAGAACCTTTAAAAAAAATAAAATTTATTTAAATTGCAAAAAAAAAAACGAAAGATAAAAATTATAATACTTTACACATTTGAGATGAAACTAAAAATTTCTCTAAATACATGTTGTTACATGCGAATCGATTTTGCACTTTTGAGAGAAAGAAGTTCTTAGATGAATAGCATATGACGAAGAATCACTATAGGCTTTCTATTTAATGAGAAGTATCTCATGTCGAACGCGATATACATTGCTTATTAGAATCCATACATAAGAAGAATTATGTTTTGTTTTCATAGATCAAAGGCTATGATAACAACAACCGTGATAATCAGAAAGAACGACAAAATAAACTATAAGAATAACTATGTCATATTTCGATGACAAATAATTTTACTTGATAATATCTAATATTATCTATTTACTTATAGCATAAACTTACTAGTTCAATTTTTTCCTTATGATAATTATACGAACAAGAAAATATAAATAGGAAACTCAAGTAATTGAATGAACACTTATCTTAAGAGTATACTATCTTAGACAACTAAATAAAAATTTTTTTTTTTGTAAATCTATTAAGTTCTATGTTTTTCTTTGTTGTTGTAGAACGATCAAGATCTTTTTTTTTTGTTTTTAATATCTAATAAATTTCGTAGAGTAAATGTTGTTTACATAAATATTATCCTATATGTTAATATAATCTTATTATATTAAATATAAGTCTAATGCACTTGTATATCTTCCTGTTTTTCTTTAAAACAAAGGAACATATAAAACAGGAAGTAAATAGCTTAGTAGAATAATAATAGTACTTATAATAGAAATAGCTTTAAGACTTTTTAAGAACTTGTTACATCAAAGATTTCTTTATAATCAATCAATATTTTACTAGACAATGAGAAAGAAACAATAAAACCTCTTTTTTTTTCTTTTAAAATTTTTGTTGTATTATACCTTGTTGCATTAATGTTCCAATAGAAAACCAAAGTGTATTACTAATAGTAAAACGATTTTCTAGTATATCATAATCTGTATCACATGGATATGGATTACGCCATTCATCAGGTGAACATCGAGCTATTAATAATAAAATAAAACTAACTGTAAATACAGCAGCAAATGTATAAATCTAAAAAAAAAATTATTAAATTAAATTAAATTAATAAAATAAAAACTTAATAAATATTCATACCCATATTTCAAGTGAAAGTGGACTTAAAAAACTGAATAAACCTGCTTTTTCTCGTTTTGGTAATTTAAATAGAATTGCTATACCCAAACTAAGAAATGGTTTAGTAAAATCAATTTGTTTTTCTCGAGCATAATTAACTAATTAAAAATAAATAAATTATTCAAATCAAATTATTAGTAAACTTTTTTTTTTTGTACATACTAGTTAATGGTGCGACAGCTAAATCAGCTCTCTAATAAATTAAAAGAAAATATTAAAAAAAAAAAGATACAAAAAATTGTTTCATACTTTATTTTTAATTTCTTCAACCATATCATCATAACGTAATGTTGTTATAGGTTTTATTTTATAACGAAAATTAAGTATACGTGATAATGCTTTAAGTAAATCAACACAAAAACCTTCAAAATCATCATTTGTATAATTTTGATTTAATAATTCAGTTATACTTTGATTATTTTTAAAAACAACATAAGGAGCTTCCTGAATAGAATTCAATAAAATAAGATTTATAATTAGAAATATTTATATTAGAAAATAAAAAAAAAATTTTATTTACATACAACAATAGTTGTTACAATTAATGTTGAATTGAATAAACCACTACGTGCCGAAGGTGTTAATGTAAAATTTGCACCTTGTTCACGGGACCATGAACCAATCTTAAAAGAGAATTCAATCGTTTATTTTAGAAGACTTATTTACGTTAAGATTTTTTTATGCACTCTTAAAAGGAAAATAACTTTATCCTGTTAATTATAAATGAAACTTGTTATCATTTTATTGATTGAAACCAATCGTATGTTAAAAGAGTCCATATGGTTGATTGTCTACATCGATCGACAGATGTTCACAAGATACTGTACTCAAAACTCCTTATTATCAATCATGAGATTATCTTAGACAACCGTTCGATAGTATGCTGACGATGTTATGACATACATCTGTTCATATGACTAGTTGGTGAGTATAAGGAAAAATATCGAACTATTAAATCTATCACTAAGTAGTATCCTATACAACAAGACAGGGGTGTCTTTTTAATTGTTCTACTTCAAGATATTGTTCGAGAAAATGTGTTTTTTTTGATAACTTACCATATAACGTTGAAAGACATATATGTTTATGAAGTATTAAATGTCTATAAACGATCGTATTAATTTATTTAGGAATAACTTTTATCAACTGTTTATCTTATCAATACATCTGATCTTATTACGGATTGGTCTTTTATTTGTTACAAATGTAACGAAATAGAAAAAAAAAAGAAGAAGAAGAAGAAAGAAAACGATGATAATTAATTTATTCGAACATCTGTATTTATTCTATTTATTTCTTTCAAAAACAAGACATTAACTAAAATAATAACTAAATAGCAAAAATAAAAGAAAATATCAATTACTTTTGAAATACCACTTTCTGATAAATGAACAACATCAAGTTCGAATCCTGTTCGTTCTCCATTTGGTGTAAATTTTACTTTTCCTGTTATTCCATCAAAAGAAATCTATTAGAAAAATAATAATATTAATTATGTCAACATATTTATTTTTATAAGAAAAAAAAAAAAGAAAAGTACTTGATTAAATTTTGAATGAAGTTCAATTCCTAATGGCCATCCTCGACCATCACTACATGAAATATTTGGTCGTTGTAATTCAACACCAAGACGTATTTGTGATGCAATTAATTTATCATATGCATAAGCAAATGCAAGTAATGCATCAGCCCATAATGCCACTGAAGTCTAAACTATGCCATAGAATGGTTCGATTATTTTAGAACAAAAAAAAAAAAGAATCTTCGAATAACTCACTGTAAATAATCGACGATTTATTTCATTATTTGACATTGTTTTAAATGCAAAAAATGATTCCATTGCCATTAATACACGTGAATCACGACGATTAAATAATCGAAAAGCTGTTAAATTAACATAATTATATTTATAATCTTCTAAATCAAATGTATCAATATTCTAAAATATATAAAAAAAACAAATTATCATTTTATATAAACAATATATTTAAATATATATATATATTACTAATGTTGTTAATATATAATGATAATTTGAATTAATCATTCCCATTTGTAAAGCCATTTTAAGTACAATACGTGTATTAGCATCATTTAAATCTAATACAATATTATTAATATCTCGTCCAATAGCATCAATAAGTACACTACGATCTTTATAATGTGTATATTGACGTACAAGAACATCGGTTTTATTGACACCAGGATCGTTGAGCAATTTTTGTAGACGTGTCAAACCTTATCGTATATAATATATATATATAAATTTTATAATTAAATGAAATATTATTTTACCTGAATCTATATCATATATAATAAGAAATTTAGTCCATTGAAGTTTATAAATTAAACTATGAAAAGCGATATTAAGATCTTGATTGGACGGATATAAGTTAATAGACATGCGATCACGTCTTGGGATTTGTTCAATATAATCATTAGGTTCTTCATCCGGATTTTCAACATCATAACATGATGAACATACATTTATAAATGGTATATCAACATGATAACATATTGAATGAACAAGTGTAGCTAATTCAGGATAAGGTGGACCAAATATACCTTGTACATGACGTTGATGTATAAGTGAACAAACTAAAAAAAAAAAGATTTAATAAACTAAATAAATCTGAATCAAAACTTCAAACACACACACACCATCATGAACAGTTTGTACAGCTGATTCAGCAGCAATTAAACTTAATGTTTCTTCTTTAATACGTATTTTAAATGAAAGATTATGTGCTTCTTTAGCCAAACGATTATAATGAAAAATAGCGTATTTAAATATATTTTCCATACTTTGAGTTTCTGTTCCTTCGTCTCTATCTGTAAAAACACCACCTAATGAAAAAAAAAAAAATAACAATGACACAAATCATAAATTATCCTTTTTTTTGTGTTTTGTTTTTGTCATATCTATTAATATGTCATTTACCAATAGTGATGTCAAATGTTTGAGTTTGTAAATGTTGTTGACCAGCAACAATAGTTGTAATAATAATGAGTAAATCCCACAAATAAAAAACAATAAGAATAAGCATTTTTCTGCATCACTTCGTGTACGTAGGTAATTTTTTACTATTGAACATCGAACATTACATGCCCACCAAGGACAATTACTATCCGTTTTTTTCTATCTAAGCTAATTTTGTTTTTAAAATAGTCAAAAATCATTGAAAAATAATTAACTTACCTAGGCTCATTTCATCTTACGTTTAAGATTTATAAACTTAGCAATGTGTCACAATAATTATCATCTAGAAAAAGAAGAAGAAAAAGAAAAAAAAAAAAAAAAAGCAAAAGCATACTGCTTGTCAATGTTCTAGTTATCTATAACGAAGAGTAATGCATTATTTTGATCGTTCTTTTTTTTTTTCTCCTCGTTTCTGTCATTCCAAGTGGATATCATCAAGGATTCGTTGACGATCACATAAAATATGAGAAGAATAACGGGAATAGAAGGGTGCATAGTAATGATTGCCAGAGAAAAACTAGGAATAATATTTTATTAGATCAAACCCATATTTCTAACCGAAGTTCACATCGTTAGTAACTCTAATCGTTCTAGTTTTTTTTTTGTGCTTCTTTCTTATACATCCATCATTCTAACAGCAAAAGAACAAGGATATAGAAATGTTTGCTTCTCTCATCATTTGTCCTTGTCGCATTCTTATCGTAGACGAGATTTTGTGCGTACTACTTGCTTTCTCGTTTTCTCGCTTTGCACATTCAACAGACTCATAAATGCTTGCTCTACTCGCGTGCTACATAGAAAATGTGGAGAATACCCCCATTCAGAAGATTTCTCATCTTGTTATTTCTCATGGTTGTCAGTCGTCTCATTTCACAGAACAAGAGAAGAAAGAAGAAGAAGAAAAACGCCATCAAGCAAAGAAACTAGAAATAAAAATGACGACGGCAACAAGACGATTTTCTTAGCTACCAAAAAAAAAAAAAAAAAAAAAAAAAAACAAAACTAAGAGATCGTCGTCTGACACTAATGATGATGACGAGGTTACTATTGCTTATATTGACTACTGTTTAACTGAAGCGGCTCTATAGGGAGTCTACAATAGCAACGATCGTGCTGTTCTACATTTGCATGATGCTGAGAATAAATTCAAATTAGAATAGTTCATTAAATCACGAAGATCACGAAGAGCTTCTCGTTTTTTTTTTGCGATGTCAACAATGATTTGTATAGAAATTGAATTAATAGAAAAACTAGATATTGTTCTTCAAGATTTTACTTTGTTTTGATTAATAGTAGTGCATTTAGATTGTAATCAATCATAAAATGAATACATACATTACACTCTTGATTGAAATTGACACCAATTGACACGTTAGATTAGAAAAATATTCATATAATGGGTTTGAAAATTTCTTCATTTTGCTTAGATTTATTTAAATATGAACTGATATATGCATATATTAAGATAGAAAATTTTTGAACTTAAAATGTGAGTGAATAAATTTGTCCTTTGAGATTACTCGGAAGTGGCATCATTTAACACCCAGTAACATGATTCCAATATATCATTCCACTTTTTATTGTAAAATAAATCACTGAAAAGAATAAGAAAGGCAAAATTGTTAATATATCTTTTCATGTTCATAAGAACGATTGAAAATATACATATATATATATATGAGTAAATTGCATTTCATTTGTACAATCAGATCGAAAAAAAAGAAAGTGTTCATATGAAAAAATTAGCTGTATATTTTGATAGAGTATCCTTGAAAATCTAGAAAAAACTTTTTTTCCCTACACTTTGCTCAAAAATAAGGTAGTCGTTGCAATATCATGAAAATGTATGCATTTTCACGGTATTCAGTCAAACTATTTTGTAGCTCTTAACAGAATGAAACAAATCATGAATCAATCGATGCAACTGGATTAGATTTATCTAACGTTGTGTTGTTGAACGTCGGAATACTATAGTCCATAAAGAAACTCGCGAAAAGTCATACAATATATTAGTGAAAAATTGGTTATTTAGAAAGCGGAGCACATCTGTAGCTTTTTTTTCTATACAGCAATACTTCACTGTGAAAGGTATATCATTAGATCGGCCTACCAAATGACGAATCGAATGGTGTATTATAAGTTCATAATTAACTTTCGTTTGACTGAGATATTCCACTTTTTACATAATGGGACATTTCATATATGACTCGCCATTATCTCAGCTGTGAAACACGATAAAGAGCTGATTTTTTTTACTACAAGTAGGAAACATAGAGAGAAAAAAAGTTATAAATTTCACGCAAAACAATCAACCCGGTAAAAAGATATTCAAGTCACAAAATTCAAACTATAACGGGACAAAGTGAGTATATATATGACTTTTTTGAAAACTTGTCCGTCCATATCCATTCAAGTTCTTGATGCAGCCTAGAATTAATTTTCAGAAAAGTTGTTCCTACCGGTTGTCTTTATTTTCAAACCACTCCAAGTTGGCCGATGTATTTCTGTCTAGAGAAAATAATATTTTGAGATAACGGGACAAAAAAAAGGCAAAGTGTCGGTATTTTGCGTATAGTTATTAAAGATAGCTTTTTTAAAGAAAAACTAAAGTCAGATTCTGATTCTCTACACTTTTTTCTACCTAACTGTACTGAAGAAAACACGAACTTAAACTTTTCGCACTTGAAAAATTTTTTGTCTTCATCAAAAGATGACTCCAATTTTTGCCATTTTTTCACTTCCAAGAGGCATAACCCGAGATAGAAGTGATATCGACTGCTCAAAATTTCAGAAATGTAGAAAGACACGGCGAGGAGTATTGTATAAAATTTTCAAGTCATTCGAAGCTTCCAAACAAGAGATATTCATGATTTAGTACCAATGATGCAATTGTACGAATGAAAATGCAATTCACCCATATATATATATACAATTAAAAACAAATTAATTTAGACAAAAATTTGTCTAAAAAGAAAAATTCAAATCTTTCTTCGATTTTGTCAAAGAATGATTGATTCATTTTGTTACAGAATGAAAGAATATAGACTAAGGCATGTCGGTCTACTAAAACATAGATAATCAATAAGATGCTATGATCGATCAACTAGCCTCAAGGCTTTCTCTCAAGACAGCCAATCCTTCATACATGTATATTTACATATACAATAAAGAAATAATGAACGCATGAAAGAAAGTATTGCTATGTATTGTGTATTATATTATCGCTAACTACAAAACACACACACACATTCATACACTCGCTAAAATGCATATATCGTTATATGGATGTAGGCGGCGAGTTATATTGTTGTTGTAAGTAAGATAAAGCGATTAGTCATACAGACGAAAGAAGGTATATTCAAATATCAATGCTTGAGGAAGAATGCAATAACAGCTGCGATGACGATAAAAAGAAGAAGAAAAAAAAACTAAAAACAATTGATGAGACGATAGAGATCAAGTGTACAGTATATGTGCTATATATTTCTGTTGATTGTCACTTGTACTATGAACGATATTCAATTTGATGAATGATGTCTCAACAACAATACAAGCGAGCATCGAACTTGCTTTGCTGTTGCCTGAAAGATTAGTCGTTATTCAAACTACACAACGTCATATATAAGCGTTAGTTTGCATTGATGCCATCGATCAAGTCAACGCCAATACTTGTATTGCAACAAAAAAAAAAGAAGAACCTATTTTCTCTCTCTCTCTCTCTCTCTCTCTATTTCTATACAATAGTATGTATAACGATATACACATACGCATCTATACATCTTAATTGTACAATATAGTTGCATATCGCATTGTTCCCTTGCTTTTCGTGTGTCAAAATGTCAATTCTCTCTCTCTCTCTCTCTTTTTTTTTTGTAATGAATTCATCAAACAAAATGAATTCAGTTTTCGATTATGATAGTAATGGTAAGATTACGTCATCTTCTTTTCTTCATTTTGTCGATAAAACTTTCGAATGTTTCATACGATGAATCAGCTGGAACAAAAAAAAAAAAATTTGTAATCTTGTACAACAGAAAGAGTGAGCATGCTTGCGCGCGCGCACGAGAGAGAGAGAGAGACAGAAAAAAAGAATATGCACAAAGAAAATAAATGACCTTTTTTTTTTTTTTTGCTTTGCATTTTCGTATAGTTTATGTGTGACATGTTGCCACTTGTCGACGTTTTATTCTTCTTCTAGATTTCTCTTCTTCTATTATATACAGGCACATTTATTTCGACTACAACAATTTCTTCTTAACTGCGTAAGCAATTGTGTTCTGTATTGCTTAATGAGCTGCTCGTCCTCATCTTATCAGCAGCAGAAGCAGCAACAGCAGCCATATCGGTTAAGCTGTCGACATGAAAGAATATAAAGTAGTAGTACTCGGTCCAGGCGGTGTTGGCAAATCGGCATTGACTGTACAATTTTGTCATTCAAAATTTGTTGAAAAATATGATCCAACTATTGAGGCAAGCAAATATACTTATAAAAAAGTTCATTAAAAACGTTTTTTTTTTTTTTGTTCTCTCTTTTGAAACTTCAATGTTTAAAGAATATATTTTTTCAAGATTAAACTTTAAATGATTCTCCATGGAAATTAAGTAAATTTTTTTTTTCTTAGATAAATAAATCATTTTCTTTTATTTTTAATTTTCTAATTAAGTTAATCATTTATTTACTTTAGGATTTCTATCGTAAAGAAATTGAAGTTGATAGTGAACCTGCTTATTTAGAAATACTTGATACTGCTGGTCAGTTATAATATTTGTACATTTAAAAAAAAAAAAATTTCAAATTTAAGGCACCGAACAATTTGCATCTATGCGTGATCTTTATATTAAAAATGGACGTGGTTTTCTTGTTGTATTTAGTTTAACATCATGGCAATCATTTCTTGATATTCGAACAATACGTGAACAAATTCTACGTGTTAAAGGTACAGATAATGTTCCAATATGTCTTATTGGTAATAAATGTGATGCATCATTACAACGTCAAGTTACACCTGATGATGCACTTGCATTAGCACAAACATGGACATGTCCATATATTGAAACATCAGCAAA